AATATAATATTGAAGTGGTACTTTATAGCTCGGGCAGGGCAGGATTGATTATAAGTAACTTTTGCTTCCAAGATCATAATGCATTAATATCTTTGAATGCAATTTCCAAAGTTTCGCAACTGGTTGACAAAATATCTCGAAAAATAAATTGATTAATTGACTATTTATTTGTTCATTTCAATGATAATTTTACAGCAATTCTGGATCTTGAAAGTGAAAATTCATTAATTAAATTTATGTTAAAAAGAATAGAAAATAAACAAGTTAAATGCAAAAAACGGCACCTTCATTGAATTATTGGTTTCCCTACGATTCATTATCAAAAAACAGTATCAGAAATGAGGCCCCAAGGTAGAAGAACCCACTTAAACTATGATAATACTAACTTGTAACGATTATGATATAAAATTTCCATTTGAAATACAATAACAATCATTTTGTACTTACTTTTAGTATTGGTACTTATATTGTATATATCCAATTTCTGTACCAAAATAGGGCAAAAAATAGTACACATCTACTGATATATAAAACAATATACACATTTATTCGTATTTATAAATGTTCATATTCTAATATTGTCTATGCATTTATTCATCCGATTTTTTTTGAATTCATATTTTACTTGTCGTCGATGAACTGTCAAACGTTTGACGTTTGGTCTGTGGCGCCATCTGACACAGAACTATATGAACCCGGTAGTCACTACGTAGTTCCCAACAAACTGGGAACGATTTTGCATAGAGGCGCTGCAAGCGTCATACTTCACATGTGTGGCGGGATATTTGAATTTATATATTCAATTTCCATACATACTAAGGCGGCTAGTCCATATATAATGATGGAAAAATCAATATATACATTTATATATTCAATTTCCTTACATACTAATGCAGCTAGTTCATATATAATGATGGAAAATCAATATATACATTTATATATTTGATTTCCATACATACAAAGGCAGATAGCCCATATGTAATAATGGAAAATCAATATATAATTTATATATCCTTTCCCATACAAACTAAAGCAGTTAGTCCATATGTAATGATGGAAAAACCAATATATACATTTATATATTCACTTCTCATACATACTATGGCAGCTAGTCCATATATAATGATGAAAAAATCAATATATACATTTATATATTTGATTTCCATACATACGAAGGCAGATAGCCCATATGCAATAATGGAAAAATTAATATATACATTTATATATTCGATTTCCATACATAGGAAGGCTACTCCATATATACTTAATGATGAAAAAATCAAAAATATATAATTTATATATCCCTTTCCCATATAAACTAAGACAGATAGTCCATATATAATCATGTATAAATAATATATAAAAAACCGTGAAAACTTGAAAAACTTATATCTTCAATTCAATATTCCACTAATTGTAAGTATAAAACAATAGGCAAAGATGAATCTCATTATAGGAATGAATGAATGATTAATAATATACATTGAGTCGAATGAAATAACCACAACTTAAATTAATTTTTTTAACAGTAAACATTTTCAGATCATACATTTAACTAATACCAATTTTTCATAAAAGCTATAATATTTTAAACCTGCAGATCTCAAGAATATAAAATTAAGTATCCATTATACATACAGAAATATTTAATTATTAAGTGAAATAAATTATTTATTAAATTAGCTTTATATAAATACTCTATCTACAGAACATAGTGTATTAACAAGAAAATTAAAAAAGTAATTAAATAATATATCTAAATTATTTTAATATATTTTCTAATGTCGCTCCATGGCAGGATTGTCGTGTCCAACATCAACAACGTTCGACTTGAATTTTGTTTTAAGCTTCTTTTGAATTTCTTCAAACGACAAACCTGGTAATAATTGTTAATTATTTATTTATACAGTCACAGGTTAAGAGCATGTCAAAATAATAAAATATATATAGTTTTCAAAAAATAAAGTCAATAGGTCAACATTAATTTTTTAATTCGAATTAATAAAACGAAGAAATTTGTGAGTGTTTTTGAAGACATAGAAGCAAAAACATTTAAAAACAAGTGGTTCTCTTAGAAAATAATTATTCATGTCTGAATTATTCGTCTTCATTCAATATGATGATATTCTAAAAGATGTATTCTAGCAGTTTTACTAAAACCATCTTTAATTGAAGTCAGAAGCAAAATTATATAAAAAGTTTATTTTACGAAATTAACAAGAAATTCGTACAAAACAATCAAAGTATAAGAGTGCCTGCCTCTTTAATTCTATCACGACTCATTTTATTTAAAATTTTGATACCCAAGAGTATATAACAGTTTTGATTAGATTTTAGTAACTTTTATCTAGTTTTCATTAATGTAAACAAATTATGAAGTCCAGAATGTAAATCAAAAGTTATTTGAAGAAAACTAAAAAAATGTCCTAAATCGGGATTTATTTAATATATGGCCATATATTACAAATTATGGAAATACTACAGTACACATTATTTCACATGCAAATTATTCAAAATTTTAATATTAAAGAGTATATAACAGTTTTTATGAGATTTTAGTAAATTTTATCTAGTTTTTACTAATGTGTACAAATTAAAATTTACTCTATTGAAATGTCCTAAATTTACATCAAAATGTCCTCCCAGTCTTCGAGACGAGTATTTTTACTCAGAGTGAATTGAATAAACTGTCTATTATGTACCTATTGTTAGCTTTACATACAAAATGTTTTTTGGTTTGTGTAATTTTTCAAACCTAGATTTACTTTGTATTATTTTATGATAAATTTAATATATTTTAAATTAATTCGTTGATTATTTTTTTTATTTTGGTCCACTGAGGAAGAGTCAAATTGGGATTCGAAAAATGTAGAAATCGATTAAAATTATTTAATTTTCTACTAAAACCGGTTCTATATAATTTTGTTTTATAAACTGACAAAACATCTAAAACTATGATATATTTTTTATTTTTATGGATTTTCTCCATCCATTGGCTACTACGTAAAAAGTCTAAGTTCTCTGTTGAAAATAAGTTGCTGCTATATAAATCAATTATTAAACCAATCTGGACCTACGGAATTGAGCTCTGGGGATGTGTTTACAAATCAAATATAGCTATAATGCAAAGAACTCAGTCAAAAATTTTACGTACAATTCTCAATTCTCCGTTGTACATGACAAATAAAACCATTCACAGCGACCTCAACATGAAAACGATGCAATTAACGTTCAAAGAATTCAAGGAAAAATACAAACGCAAACTGGACTCACATTCGAACCCATCAATAGTTGACATTACTCAACCTTTTGGCATAATGAGATTGAAACGACAATGGCCTTTAGACTTAGTCTTAGATTAGATCTAATATACTATTATCATTATATTGTAAAACTAAGAAGATCTCACTAAAGTTCTTCTTAGGCATTGCTCTTAAATATTGCCAATTTAGCTCATAGGAATCTTTATGTATTTCTGATTGCTAAATAAAACAGAGTTCAAAAAAAAAAAAGGATTTTCTCCATCTATGAAAAAGTTCAAACGACTACCCTAATCATGCATATTATTCTGAAATAACCCCTCTCTTTCCCCTTCGTAAATATGATGATTATTTGTCTTACCTCTGGTCTCCGGTAAGAAAACTGCCACAAATATGACGGAAAGAGCGCAGAAAAATGCATATAGTCCAAAAGTTCCTGAATTTTTCAAGAGAGCTTGCAAGTCATCAAAAGTGAGAGCGATCACGAAGGCGGTGACGAAACAGATGGACGTGCAGATAGCGGATGCATGAGCCCGAAGATGTCCAGGAAAGATTTCGCTTATAACCACCCATATAGCGCCACCGAAACCTGAAATATTAAATAACATATTATCTGAATACGGATCAGAGGCATGGACTCTGAGCAAGGTATGAGAAAAAGCCACATTTATGAAATAGAGAAGATGAACTGCACAGTTAAGATAACATATGAAGATGAGATGAGTGAGCAGAAAAAACTATTGAGAACGATAATTCGTCATTCGCTCTCGATGATATCATTTCTATACGGGTCGATTGTGATTGGTCGTCGTGTCGCTCGAGTATGATTGCTTTGATTGTATAGTGAAAATAATAAAACAAATGAAAAATCTGACGTTTAAGAAACTTAAGTTTATTGAAGTAATTTGTATTATTCGTGGTTACTATATATATTTTTGAAGTTATTACTAGATTACTAGATACTACCAGCTGTTCAAAGAATGAAATTGTATCACCAGCAAAAAAGTAAAAAAAAGCAGTTCATGAATGTATGTTAATTTTAATTACACGAAGTTCTTCAAACACAATTACATGATAAGTGAAATTGTGAAAACAATATATTTATTCAGGCCTCATTTAATATAAATTCTCTGCATTTTTATACATATTAAAAATATATATTAAAAAGCACAGCTTTATTCTATCATGACAAAGATATATCATTAACAGAATTATATCGCAGACACTTTTGGAAGTTTAGAGGAAGTTTACATGTTTTTCGTTTAGGATGGCTATTAAGTATTACAAAGTTGCATATTTTTATAAATATTGAAGAATAAATTGATATTCAGATTTATTACTCTAAACAAGAGATCAAGCACAACAATAGTACATCATTTATATATACAGATATACATCTTTGCAGTTTATTTATTGATAGTGTTAATGAATTTATTCACAATTGTTATAAGTTTACTGTGTAAACGAACATTATAGAATGTATTAATCAGCAATTACTTCATTTCTTTAATAAAAGTTCAAGTCCTAAATGCTAATTACAATGACAAACCGATCATGTCTAAAGTATGACTTCAATTACATTAATATATATATATATATATATATATATATATATATAATTTGATATTAATTATAGATATCACATAACTTACCAATAGAGTTTGTAAAAATAAAAGCGGCTATACATCCCATTGGTATCGAAGTCAAAGAATCAGCATTCATCAAATTGTTTTCAATTATATAAAAATACGCACCAAAGGTCCCCTAAAACATAGATTTCCAAAAATAACAATATATTACTATTTCAACACCATCAAAATTTAATTTAAGGATATTTTAATCAAAACTTATAAGTTAAAAAAAAAAAACTTACCATTGCAATGGTCATCCCGGCGCCTGAAAATATTAACAAAGACTTTCTGCCGCATCTATCAAAAATAAAGGAGTAATGAGTGCAGCAAATGTTTGAATCGCTCCTGAAATATAATATGAAAAAATGTTGAAAAAGTAATTAATAAGAAAAGTAAATTATGATATGCTCTGACACTACTAAAACCTCTGTCATAAAATACAGCTATGATATAAATTTAAACTAGTTGGAATTGGTATTTTGCTTTGAGGCAAGTTACATAAACTTCCCGATATGTGTAAATAATCGACTTAACAAATAAAAAGTAAGTTAAGTAATTAATAAATAAGTGATTAAAAGTAAAACAAGATTTACCAACCCATTATCATGGCCATGACGTCCGGCGAAAGACTTGATGCCGTTTGTTCGAACAAGGATTCGGCGTAAATTAGTACGGCAGTAACTCCTGATAATTGAAAGAAGACGGCCAATCCTATTCCCAAAAATAAAGGCAATTTTTGGGTACCACTGCATAAGAGCTCACGATATGAGCCATCCTTGGCTGCTTCTACATCTGCCTAAATATAGAAGAAAATTAATAAAAAGGCATTCGAAATCGAAGAAAGATTTAATTTTTTTAAATAATTTGTATAAATTAATTGTATAATACGTTAGATTTTCTGTAAATTTAATAGTAAAGTTTTACCTGTATTTGCTTAACTTCTTTATCTATTTCATCTGCAGATCTATCTCTTAAGCGAACTAATGATGCTTTTGCTTTATCTAGCTTACCTAAAAATCAATATAATCCAAATTAATCAATATTTATAACAACTATAGATTATATTCTATACGGTTGTTTGAAAGGTCGTTTTTATACCATAGAGTATTTAACTATTTTTCTTATTTGAACCTTTATTAGAAACCTCGTATTTTAAGGTTTGTGTGTAAAAAGTCTTAAGACTTCTAAGCAATTACATGCAGTAGTTTTTGTGTGGTGCCACTTTGAATACAGAACGTATTAAGCAGCAATTTCGACAAATTATACTCTTTTGCTACAAAAAGGGATAAAAATACTGTTTAAGTCAAAATGAAATTGACCGGTGTGTACGGAAATGACGTGTTGATAGTACAACAGTGCCAAAACTGGTTTGCCAAATTTCATTCCTGGTATTTGTATGTCCAAGTTGCACCAAGTCCAAGAAGTACGGTTGAAGCTGATAAAGACGCGAGAAAGACATTAGTTGATGCAAACCGGTGAAAAACTATACATGAGATCCCATCGAGTAAAAATTTATCAAATTTAACAGTCCATGACCATTTAAAAGATCTCGGATTTTTCTCAATGGTTCTCATTGAAAGAAACCTGTGTCATCGCACTGGCGTCCGCGATTCGCCTGTGAAAAGTCCTGAAAATTATCAGGTTTTGAAGCGTTTTGTTACTAGGAATGTCAAATTGGATATACAATTGTCCTTAAAACAAAAAACAAGAACCTACTCAAAACAGTTATAAGACTGAAAATCACCAGAAAAAGGTGATGCATTATTTTTGGTGAGATTTTAAAGGAATTGCTCGTATTTCACCTTTTTCAAGGTAACAAAACGATTAATTTGGATGCTTTATGTCATCAGCTGGATGAACAAAATTATGTACTTCAATAGAAAAGGTCGGAATTAATCCTCAAGTGAGGTATAGTATTGCACCAAGACGAAGCAAGACCTCCCAAAAGTTTGGTCATTCGCCAAAAGCCAATGGGACCCAATTCCACATTCATAATATTCTCCAGACCTGCCATCATTGGACCATTATTTGTCGTGGTCACTAAAAAATTGTTACGAGGTACTTCAATAGAAGAGGTCAGAATTAACCCACAAGCAAGGTATAGCAATGCATCAAGACGACGCAAGACCTCCCAAAAGTTTGGTCATTCACCAAAAGCTTTTACAGCTTTAATGAGACCCAATTCTACATTTATCACATCCTCCAGACCTGTCATCATCGGACCATTATTTGTCCTAGTCACTAAAAAAATTGTTACGAGGTAAAACCTTAACCAAATTGAGGAGGTCAAAAAGCACCTTGATCAGTTTTTTGCCAATAACGACCAAAAAAAATATGATCTCGAAATTATGCTAATACCAGAAATATGACAAAAGATGTTCGATCAAAGCAGCCAATACATAATTTATTAAAGTATTTGTTTATTGTATGAATGATACGTCCTAACCACGTGGTCTTCTTAGAGGATAATCTAAAGGTGATTCCTATCTATATTTGATCTAATTTTTATGAATTTTTATCCAAAAGGGGTATAGTATTACAACAAGACGAAGCAAGACCTCACATAAGTTTGGTCAATCGCCAAAAGCTTTTGTAGCTTGACCTGCCATCATCGGACCAAAAGTTTACCAAAAGCTTACCACAACAATCCTATTAAAAAAGAAATTAAATTTTTCTTGAAATACTAACCTTTAGACGCACAACAGTATGGACTATCTGGCATAGGAATGAAACAAATTGCGAATATTATTGGAATGATTCCACATATTGTGGTGAAAACAACGTAAGATGTGTAAGGGCCTATGCAATATACCAGCAACATCCCAATAGTTAGAGTAAGTTGCAATAGGGCTCCTAATGTACCACGAAAAGTATTCTGGAAGAAAAAAAAAATAAAATTATACATAACAGAATAAAAAACTATTTAAAAAAAAACTCGAATATTTTTACTCACATCTGCGATTTCTGAAACATAAGATGGAGCTACTGAAAAGACGACACTACAAGCTATACCTAAAATGAACCTGGCGACCAGGAGTTGCATTATGGTCGTGGCCGAAGCCGTCAGGATCCAGCCGACCAGGCTGGGCAGAGCTGACCACAGCAGCGTCTGCTTCATGCCGATCTTGTTCGTTGAAAATGCACATATGAACGGCCCTGGATAATAGAATGGAAATATGTTGATTTACTAATTGTTGCTATAGATATTGTTATAATGTTTTTCCTTTAAATTATTATTATTATTAAAACTGACAATTACCTACAGCAGTACCCAGAGATACCAGCGCGCCCATCCACATTGCCTCGGGGCTGGTGATGTGCCGTGGAAATGGGCTGTAACTTTTATCTTTTGCTAGTTTTGCTAATACTGGCGAAGTCCAGGCCATTGATGCACCCGCTGATATTGTTAAAATATTCACTGAAAATATAATTTATATAATTAATTAAATACATAAAGTATTAAAACAATAACGCATGTCACTGATAAAAATAGGTATCAACTTGAACACTGACAAGGAGATTCTTAGGTTTACTCTTATGAGATTTTGATAAAATTTTGCAAGGTGACAGAGTTTATAGTCGAACCGAATGCCCTAAAATATTATAGGCCTATGGGAAGTGGTTTAATTATAAAAATTAATTAAAGTTGCACTAAATGGACCGCGCGTTAAATGTAGCTCTTATTTTTTTAAGCACATTTTACTCAATTTGAGTATTATAAATAACAAGTTAAAAATATTGACTACTATACTAGATGGTATATATATGTATATATATATATATATATATATATATATATATATATATATATACTAGATGGTAGGTTCATGTGTAATATATTAAATAACTTCTCTAATTCAAGGCAATTAGTTATATGCAAAGCTATTCTTATAAGTCTTAATTAATTTGACATTATTTCGCTCGCTCCAATTATAGATGAAAATACTATCTGTGGGAATATATTAATTTAGCGCCACAGCCCATCAAATGGGTCGTTAATTAAAAAAAAGAAAAAAAACTATGTTCATAAAATTTCCCTGTTAACTCCTAATTATAAAAACGATTTTTTTAATATTTTTCTAAAGTTTGTTATCTGTCCCATTTTACCCCATAGGCGAGGGAAAATGGGACAGCCAGGGGACAAACAGGTCCAATGTCTTGATTTTAGTTTCAAAGTAATTGTGTACGAAATAAAAACTACTTTTATACAATCAATACAAAATATATATTTTATGGACGCATTTTTTAGAAAGATAATACTGTATATAACCTTGATCTGGTATTTTGTCAGAAATATTCTACAACAGAGTTAGAATAACTATAAATTTACTTTATCTCTTGTCATATTATTTTCTTTAATTAACTTACTTTTTTATTTATTATTTTTTGCTAGTAACACCTTTGCCAAAGTAAAGATCTAGTTGGCCCTTCTTACCCCAGTTTTCTATGAAATTAAATAATCTTAAGCGTTTTGAAAATGCAGACGATTTGAAACCACTGCGAGATTCTTAATTAAATTTCAATTAATTAAGACTTTTAATATACTTATAATAATTTTTATATTGGAAGGTTGCCTAAGTCAAGACCCCTACAGAAATAATTCCTTAGTATTAAGTTTAATTCCAATAAAACCAAAATTTTTGACATCTATTAAATTTTTAATTAGTTAATTCATTTTCAACAGTCTATAAATGGTTGTTATTCAAAATACTAATTGCATTATTAATATATTATTGAAATCTCTTTTAACAAACTGACAAACTGAATATATTTTGTAAAAAATATATACCAGCAATAGCTCCTATAAATGAAATTCGAAAACATTTAATTGAATATTGTATACTTTGGTTCGTGTATTTTGAAAGGTATTTCAAACTTATTTTATTTATAACATTTTCTTTTCATCGATTTCTTATCAGCAAATATTTCAATAAAAAATCAAACATGTTTGTTATATTAATAATTTTCACGGAGCCGATAAAATATTTCCTAATACAAATATTAGTCATTATTTGTAATTTGTAATTTTGCAAATATATAACAAAGTATTTATAAACAAAGATAAAATGCAATTCTTTAGATATTGATAAGGATTTTAACACGTGCAACTAAGATTGTGAAATATGGCTTTACGTTTTACATATTTTAAATTAATTATGGTTCATTAAAATGCAGAAAGCATAGAATAATAATAAATAATTATAAATATTCGGCTATTTTATCAGAAAAATAATTATTGTATGAAAAACCAATAATTAGATCACGTTAACCAGGCCAATTATTGAAAAAGATTTAAATTTCTCTGTATATGAATAATAATTAACTTCCCGTAGAGCAAGTTATAGTAAATAAATAGCAATAGCAAAAAAATCGAAAATGAAAATTTTTATATATCTTTACGTTTGAAAAAATTGATGTATGTGTGTGTGTATGCGTGTATGTGTGTGTGTGCGGATATATATTTTCGTCGACGATTTCGGGAACACAGATAAAGCGATTTGAATAATTAAAAAAACTACCACTTACACCTAGTTTCTACATGTTCTTAACTACTTACCTGCATTGGCAGCCACGAACTGTGTATACCTCCCATTTTTGATGATATTATTGAAATGCATTTTTACAATCTTGACTGATGTTTTCCTTCGAAGATTAATTTGTTGATTTAATATTAGTGAAATATGTCATTGAATGTTAAAATGAACAATATGGTATTTATTCTGTTGTTCTGCATCGCAAATTATTTCACTTGGAACTTAACTTCTGTTCTTCGTTCTGGAAATAGAAATATGCATTAAGATTCTTATAAATGGTAAAAAAAGTATTTTAGTATTACTCTCTACGGATCAGAGATGTGGGTTCTAAGAAGGGTAGACGAAAGTAATAATATTATCAAGTTTATATAAAACTTTAAACTTTGTTAATAAATAAATAAATATTATAAAAATTAATATTACTAAATAATTAAATTTAATGATAATGATTATCTGTGATGAAGTAGTTTAACATACTTGACCACATTTATTAAATTTGAACAACTCACAACTATTGTTGCAATTAAAACAAAATTCTGCTCTCATTAAATGTATAAATTAATTTTGTAATAATTGCAATAGACAACACTAATTTTGTAATACTTGCTGTAGACAAATTGCAATAACATTTATATAGCATAAGATAATTAATGCAAAGATTAATTTTGCTAAACTATTATTGTATTATTGACAATATAATGAATCTACGCTGTAACCCTAAAAGTTCAATTAATTTGTATATAGATTAATTATTATTTAGATCGTTTTTTCCAGATTCTTTGATTTTTAACTTCCCGTAGGGTAAGTTATAGTAATCGCAAGAAAATCAAAAATGAAAATTTTTGCATGTCTTTACGTTTCAAAGGTTTCTGAACATTTTGGCATACCTTAGGAAAAATTGATGTGTTTCGATACAATATTTTGTCCACGACTTCAGGCGAATGGATCAACCGATTTGAATGATTCAAGAAAACATTCGATTCCTACTGATGGGGAGACGTGCTGCTTAGGTTTTGGCAAAGGTCCAACGGCTTTGGATATATAGAGCAAAAGTGCCAAAATTAGTAATTCAGTTTTTGAGGTAAAGGAGCGCCCGATTGAATTGATTCAAAAAACATTTGTATTGACGAAACGAAAACTTGATCACATTTTTGGTTAAACAGATCTAGCGGTTTCGGAGATACAAAAAAAATTAAAAAAAAATGAATGATATTTGACGATCTAAAATGATCATTAGACATATGCACATCAAATTATTAGACATTTTATTGATAATTTACAAGAACAAATTTTGTTACAATTTTTTGAGTTGCGTACCAAGATTTTTAATTTTTAAAGTTCACTAATATGGTTCAAACAAATTTCAAAGTATTCAGCAAACTGTTTATCAAAATTTTCAAAGATATACAAAGTTTTATACTTCAAATATGATTTTTAAATATGCGTTATTCTACTCGAAAGAAATATATCCTCAGATGAATTCATTCAGCATTTCTTCTTTATGTAAACATATTCATGAACGAATAAATATATAGTAATTATCTCTGTAAAAATATTTAAAATAATTGTTATTAATCATCGATCAAAATTTATTGATTAATTACGGGAAGTTCCAGCAATTTGTCTTAAGGCACCATGCCATGTACTACTAGGTATATTAATTGTTGACGTATTGATGTGTATTGATATCAACAATTACACATTTAGAAACTGAAAAATAAATGAATTATTGTTAGGCTACGTCTCACTTCTACGTTATTTGCCTATATAGAGATTAGAAAAAATAAACTATTTTATTTATTTCTACGTCGACGTATTAAATTTCTACATCTGACGTACTAAATAACTCTAACTTGTATAACAAATCGCTTAATTGTTTCTATTTTATTGCCAATGATAATAAATATGTTTGCGCATATGAAATACGAAACCCAGAGGAAAATTAATAAAAAAGATATATTTTTATCCACTAGTTTTAAGTAAACAAGTTAATAATAATTGAAAAACACAAATATTATATAGTTCTGCATTTGCTTGGATGTGTGTGTATCCAAACATACACACACATCCATTTTTTCTGGGAAAATGATATGCAAAAATTTTCAATTTCGATTTTTGTCCATTACTATAACTTACTCTATGGAAGGTTGAAAATTCATAATTTTTATAATTATAATGTCTAAAAATTTAAAAAAAGATATTGGTATAGAGTACTAATAACATCGAATAAATAAGGACATCTTGCAATAAAAAGAAGATCAATCTTCCACCTTGCAATAATGATTCAATTTTTTGGATTTGTATTAAGGTATCCTCAACAGCAACCAATTGTATGTCGCGTCTTATTAAATTTTTAACATCATGTTAATATTAATAATAAGATTATTATTATTCCATAAATAATTTGCTTGACATTTTAGAATGCAAACTTGCCTCAATACATTCTCTGTCTTCGACTTTAGATATAATATGTATTGTACTGGAACTGGAACAACTTGCGTTTTCTTTAAGAAAGTCAATTGTGCACTAGCGAGAGAATGCAATGTCAAGACCGACAATTTTAACCTGTTTACACAAGATAAGTGTGGATATTACATAGATTAGATAAAAAATCAATATGCATATAGAATTGAATCACTTTGCCGACAAAACAGATTTTTTTGCACATTTTTGTAAAGGTTGTTCAAACAGAACTCTAAGTTGAAAGTCGAAAGGAAGACGATAAAGCAATTTTTATAAGATTTTGAATAATTGCATCGAGGAAGATATGGTAATATCACAATATTGCAGCAAGTGTATTGAAATATATCACTTGATAAAATTTTTGCAACAAGTATACGAAAATTACTTGAGAAAATAGCTGGTATATATATATATATATATATATATATATATATATATATATTAACAAAGTATAATAATCGGGCATAACATCAATAAAAATCGGGCATAACATCAATTTTTTATTGATGTTATGCCCGATTATTAGACTTTGTTAATACATATGTCAACATCAAATTCAGAATCATACAAAATATATATATATATATATATATATATATATATATATATATATCACTATTAGAAATATAATATAATCAGGGAAAATATGGGCAACCACTGGGTTAAAGAGATTTTTAGATCAAAAGAGAATACTTGCTCTAATATACATTTATATATATATATATATATATAGATATATATATTAATATATATACACACACATATATATATATATATATATATATATTAATATATAATTCCTTAATATAATTTATAAAAAAATTGCTGAAAATTTTATTTCTTAATATTAACTTTAAGATAGTCCGCACTCCAACAAAGTTTCTTATGGAAATAACATGGATAAAAATCCATTGGTTTTTTAGAATTTTATAATTTAGCGGCAAGTGAATATAAATTTTGAGAATTACAATGTATTTGCTTATTTTAATCATAAATAAAAAATTTACAACAAAAATTTGATATATTTTATAAAATAATTATTTACTTAGAAAGAAGAACCAAGTAACTTTGGTCAGAAATAATTGCTCCATAAGCTGCAGCAATTAAGTTATATTTTACAAACTTATTCTTAAAGATAGTTTCTCATTTCTAATCTTCCTACGTTCAATTTAAAATGTGATTATCTCTAATTATTTGGAGGCATGCCATAAACTCTAGAGGTAATTTTTACTTGAAATCATATTTAGATTTATATTTTTAAACATAAACTTACATACTACTGCTAGTTATCAGATTATTCGTAGTGGAAATTTAGGACTTTTGGACCTTGTGCTCGCAAGACCGAAGCTCTTACCACAAAGCCACGGCAAGTCAACTCGTAAGTAATAAAAACTAAGAAGTAAGTAGTATACCCACACCTTATATAACATATATTTCCTAATACTTGGTAAGTAAAATTTAGTTTTCATGCTCAACCAAAAGTTATTTACACATATAGGTACATTTATTAATTACTCATAATTTTAGATTTTTTATAATAATGGTTATTGCAAACCGATTAATTGACCCAAAGTATTTAAAAAAAATAATAACCTGGAAACTGATTACCTCGAAAAAAAGTATACTACTGATGTATTATATACAGATATTATATACAACTATAAACTGATGTATTATATACAGATCTCATTAGTTAAACTTGATTGTCTCATTCATATTTTTTCCAAAAAAAAATATTTTATTTTTACGACAATTATATAGAAATGAGAATCACTTAATTTACTAACATTACTGATAATTATATTATCTGGAACGAGTTTTTAATCAGAAATCTTAATTGTGACTATATATCAGAAGTATCTCTTCATATCTTTTTACTATCATATAGTATTGTAACTTTTTCTATGATAAATGTTTCGAACGATTGCTGATTATTTATAAACAAAATACAGTGTAGATTGTAACTAATTCATATATCAAAATTTCCATTGAAATATTAATTAAAAAAAAAAATGTTTCAGAACACAAAATCTTTGATATTAATAATTGTGCCTACCATTTGAGTTTCTGATTGTGTAATAATTAATTATTAGTTCAAAAATTAAAAAAATAATCATGGAGGAAAGCACCGAACATGAATTAATAAAAATATTATTTAAAAATATTGATAAAAATATTATAATAAATTTTGTTTGTATTAATTTAATATTTGTTATAAATAATCGTGTTCAATTCAGTGAAAAATTGCTCGCATTTCTCTCATAGAGTGACTGTAGATAAATTTCCATATACTTTATTCATACTGTTCTTAATCTTCATTTAAGAGTAATTATTAAGAGTAGTTTATTTTATTTTATATTTACTATTTGTATTAAAAAGAAGAACAATGTTATATTTACATTTTATTATTTTATTTAGCGAACGGTTTGAGACCTTATTAAACTCATTTTTCGTATGAATATTAAAGAATAAATAAAACAAAAATTTAAAGAAATAAAAAAGATGTATAAGAACAACTATGATATATATATATATATATATATATATATATATATATATATATATATATAATCTCTATTAAGTAGCTAAACCGGCTTTCCTAGTAATTATCACACAAATCATACAAGTTGATGAATTTAATTAATTTTATCTTAACTTATTATTGTCAGTAGGTATCTCTTACAAATTATAAATAAATAAAGGTGTATATATACGGTAATTACTCAACACGACAAGAATATTAATGAAGTGAATATAATTTATTACCGTTTCGTAAAC